CGACTCGGTTACCCTTGTCAAATCCCAGGATCAGTGTACCTTGTGTATCTGGGATACAGATGATGGGTACTATCCTTTTAGATGATGCCGACAACTCCCTCGGGATTGAGGCCATGCCCATTCCCTTCCCCATATCAGGTTCGTCTCCTTTATCCAAGCTTAGTTTCCACAGCGCTTCTGATGCCGGCAAGACGGAGGAAGCTGATGATTCCCTATCTCAGAAACTAAAGGACCGAGAAGATTTTTCTTCTCCTAGTCCTTCTTGTTGAGTGCGTCGCTGCTTTGCCGGGCATTTGCTTCCTCTCATAGAAGCATGTTCCGTGGATGTGCCCACACCTTGATGAGGTTTCTCTGAGCCATCCCCTTTCGAACCTGCGGCTTGTTGTGACACTGCCCCTAAATTCCCTGTTGCAGACTCGGTTCCCCCATGTGGAATGTGTTGCGTACCGTCGCCTTGATTAACACCTGATTTCAGTGGCATCACGGGCCGCTCCCACCCGAAGGTGAAGATGAGGGTGAGGGGATATTGCCCGGGGACAACGGAGGGGAGGCAGGTGTCACCCCAGGGGGTGGTGGTTCTGGTTCGTAAAATGGGTTATTCCTGCTACCACTAAAGGATGGGGAACCACCACCCATTATCGGACCAGACATGGCAAATTTGCCATTGAATAAACCGGGGCCCATCTGCACCCCAAATCCCGAAAAGGCAAAGGGGGGAACGCCTGTGTAACCTCCTGAGCCAACAGGTGGAAGCGCTTGGAAGTGTGCGTGAAACTGTTGAGATGCAGCAGATTGGGGGATAGGCCCAAGCCACAGTCGGACCCCTGACAGTGGCTGAGAAGGCTGATTGGCATGAGGAGAAGGGCCTTGGGCCACAGGAGCAGGAGGAGGGAGACTGGCACTTGGATTGATTCGCAGAGGATACACTGGCGGGTGCGGCCGTTGCTGGAACAGCGAGGGTCGAACATTCTGTGACGTTGGAGCTGGGCTCGGTGTTCGTCGAGAAGGGCCAGCAGGTTGTTGAGCCTTCTGAAACGTCGTGTAGCCAGCGCCTGACTGTGAAGTTGAAGCAGCCCCTTGTGCATGCGTGTGATGTTGAGGATGTCGTGGGCAAGCCGTACTATCCTCCGTGTGGTAAAACCATTTGCACTTTTTACACCAATCCGTTGCCTGTGAAACAAATTCCAATTTAAACTCCTCTCCATCCTTCCGAAATTCTAACTTCTCCTTCCAATTCTGCCGTGCTTCTGGAGCCAGATCCATCTTCACATTCATCAAACGTGGGAAGTGACTATCCTTTTGAGGAGGATACATTTTCTGGATTTTGGCCATGGAATTCTCCACCGCCCAATGCAAATGAAACATTGCACGGAGAGAAATCCTAATGGCCATTACCTAGAACTTCCCAGCCGCTTCCTGAGCCCGAAGATCATCCAGTTCTTTTTTTGTAGCCCAACGACGAAGTTGAACTGAGTATCGAATATCAGGGCTCCCAGGAGCATTTGGGTCACTAAACACAATCGTATCTGAGCCTTTGTTAATCATAAAATCCGCTATATCCTTTGAAGTTGCTACATAGGAAAATACGCTGGCCCCCTCGAATTTAACTCTCCCCCTCTTCAACGATGGATTTACCGCGGGGTTGGCATACCAACCATCTTCTTATATTCGTATTAAGATCTCCTTGATCTTGTTGGGGAGATCCCTTGCCTCAGCCTGAAAGATAACCACAACTGTTCTTTCTTCTAACCATTTCACTACCGCATCATCCACTTTCGGGTTTAGAGTGATGGTTGCTGTTCGACCGTCCACAACACACGTCCCATGATCTAGACCTTCTGGGAAGATGCCGTCCTCTATACATTTTTGGATCATTTCCCTGAGGTGTTCTTCATCTGGGTCGGCCATGTTGACTCCTGGCGACGGGCCGAGTACTAGCCTTATGTGTATTTCCGGTGAACCACCCTGTCCCCAAGGCTGTGCGATAGGGATTAGTCGAATTCACCGTCGGTCAAAACTACATATCACGAGGCGAGAGCAAACAAGACCGCAGCGGATTCCTAACTGACGTATACTTCCTTTATGGGATTCAGATAATTAACAGCTTAATTAGGTCTGCACTCCTCACGCAACGGCGTTAGTACCAACAAACGGACTGACGACACATGGTTACCCCCGAGACCGGAACAGAGCGTAAGCCCCTCGCTACTGAACACGTGACCTTCACAGGACAGCGGAAAAAGAGGATGGATATGCACTAATTTTAACAACACACGGACATCTATGTGAGGCTCAGGTAACTGACCACAGGGTGTGACATGCCGGGACAGAAGATGCTTGCGAAGCGAGATTACCTTAGTGGTGAGTCGCAAGATTACCGCAGAAATAGCAAAGCTCCCATGCAGCGTCCTTCATGATGAGAGTGAAGCCCGCCGACCCTGCTAGGGCTAACGCGCCCAAGTACCCGGTCAACGCTGCTCCCACCTCTCCAGCTTAAAACCTGCTTCTTCTTCCAACTGTGACATTCAGATGGGCGCCAAAGCGCTCGTCCATTCGCATAATTCACATGAAGTCATAACAGTTATCTAAGGACTCTCTGCCGGCCCCTATACCTCCCATAGCACTTGGCTATGGTTGGCGTCAACAGGATGACGCAAGGTGGTAGCCGTCTCACTTCCTCACAGGGATTGCAGGGAAATGACGAGAGCGCGCCTTTACGTACACTACCGCCGGCGGTACGCTGCGGAGCGCTACCGTGCGCCCGAACCGTACCCCCGTTTCCAGGGACGCATTTTCGCCGCCCGCTAGGATTCATCTTTCGATCAGGCCCGCTATTTTCCCAAGAGGCAAAGGTACTAGTGGTTTTTCGTTCCATCTACGTTCAGACTCATGTCTGCATTCCAAATTTGGGAGGGAGATCAGCTATCAGAAGGCCGCGCGGTGTATGTCGAACGAAGGATAAGGTTCCGAAGGCCATTCCTGTTATAAGAGGGGTGGTGTTGTGGCCTTTTCCAATTGACCTGAAAGCTCTCTACGGTAGCAATTTGCGAGTGTACATGGCTTTGGGTCTCGCCGCACGGCACACGAAACGAAAACGAAACGAACGCATCTGCCCACCAAAGGTGGCAAAATACACTCGTTACTATTTATAGCAAGCCGATGAACCTGGCCATTTTCTGGGGAACGATACGTTCGTTTCGTTTTTCGTTTCGTGTGCCTTGCGGCAACGCCCTTTGACATTCCCAGGGATGGGATGCCGAGCTGGCAGCAGCTATTCCAAGGATGAGGTTCTGACAGCCATTTCTGATAGACAAGAGGTGTCGAATTTCTCCCTGTGCCCTGAAAGCTTTGTACGGTAGCAGAGTACGTATGTTCTCGGCTTTGACATGCTTGCTTGCCATTGCAACTGGAGATTGGCATCATTCACAAGTTCTCGCTCATCATTGCAATTCGACGCTGACTAACTGATGTCGCGTACTACGCAGCGGAGAAGAGGGTCTTTTTTGACGGAAGCCAGAGGCTATCGAGGAGATGAATTCGTATGCAAGAGTTCGACAGTCTTTGTTGCCAGTACTAAGCTGCTCGTCTGCTAACGCGTAGTGTTATCGGCGGTTCGCCATGGCCCCGCGCGTTCACAGAAGGCAAGTAATTTGGCGGGAGTCTGGAAGTAATTTGGCGGGAATCCGGAAGTAATTTGGAGGGAATCCGCACCACGTCGATGAGAGAATGAGATTTTTGCTAGTTTTTTTTCTGCATTCTTCTCTGATTGTGCGTGTCATCCTTTCGCACGTGCCAATCTAGTCGTTTCTGTATGTATCATTCCGACTGCATAGGATGTTCCTTCATAAGGTCTTTAGAATAATTACATACATGACATGGGTTTTAGTCGATGCGTGCGCATGCTCGAGATGGTGTCTGGCGCCTGTCTGAGGGAGCGGCCACACTGTTTCACGTTGCATCCCAAGGAAGACCATCGTGAATGCATGTCATCGCGATCCTGTGACGCGATTTTGCTTTTCGCGCGCGCGGGTTTCTTCATCTGAGGTCTCGGCGCCAGCAGTCATTTCGACGATGCTGTCAATTGCAGAAGCCCCTCTCCGCTACCGGGTGACGCACCCTCGGAGCACAGGGAGATGTTTGGCAAATTTCTTAAGTTTTGTTGCGAGCAGCACCGTAATCACGCCCTCATGGCGGTCGGTCTCGTAATTAACATGAAGGAAGAATAGCATGAAGGAGCTGCCCACTACCGGTATTGCTCAATAAGGTTTCGTACTGCAGTTAGGATTTTGAGACCCGGTTCGGTCAGGATAGCTCCGTCACACCTCGTGACGTCGTAAGGGTGGGGCCGTCCCGTTCCAGGTTCGAGGTCAATGCTTAGTTAATAATCGTCAGCGCATCACTTCATTCAGAAAAACTACTTAGTATTGCATTGGTAACGACGCCGGGTGACGCTACCGTCGACCCCCGAACACAACGCACCCTCATTTTGGATGTACCGGACCGGAAACATAGCTTGCATACGTTCAACTTCAGGGTGCTTTATGTTGGGGGGAAGACGGTAGTAGTCAGAGGGAATAGAGAGAAAACTCGATGTCGTAGGAGGGTGGAAGGGAGGTGGAGTTCTCTGTCACAAATACTTTGTAGTAGTTCGTTGCTAACGACCCCGCGTGACGCTAGTGGCCTTATTGACTAGAGAGAAAATAGTGTAGTATTTCTTAGGAGGGTGGAAGGGGAGTGGAGGCTGCTGATAATGGGGTCGAGAAGGGTAGGAGGGTAGGAGAGAGGGGAGGAGACGGTGAGCTGCCAAACGGTGCGCTCGAGACGAATCGCCACTTTGCCATGATGTGCAAGAACTGCAGAGCATATTGGAGAGAGCGAATGGCGCCGGAACAGACGAAGGGGAACTCGCGTAAGACTGCGAAGCCACGAAAGCGAACCAAATGCTCATGAGTCGAATTGCGAGCGATCGCCCTAGTACAGAGGAAGGTCATGCTGTTAGAGTAGGGTGTTGGAGAGCAATAGTGCAGCAGTTGTCATGCAGAAAGGAGCAAAAAAAAACGACTCGAATTGCTCCTGATCGTCCTAATAAGGAGGAACGACATGCTGGGAAAGTGGGGTGTCGGAGAGGAATTCGTCAGCTAATGTCAGACAGGAAAGAGGGGGCTTGGTGGGGCAACCCTGCGGGGAAGGGAAAAAGAAGTAGAAGCACAGCAATTGCAACAGCAATGGGAGGCCGAGGGCTTCGATCCATCGACATACAGTCAAAGAGCGGATTAACCTCTGTAGGGAGTATCTTAGAGTCTCGTGACAGCAGGGGAACGGTGCAGAAAGAGGTAGAAGAAGAGAAGGAAAACCAGCGGGATGGGGTAGAGAAGGAGGCGAGCGCAAACGGAAGAGCGGAGTTTAATGTAGGTTCCCGAACGCAAGTGATGGAGAACGCGCGAGCGCCCGCGCCTTCCCCCACTAATTGGATCGCGATTGACCTCGGCACGTCTTCCTGCGCCGTGGCCATGGTCGCCAACGAGAAGGTACAAGTGATTCCGAACGAATTTGGCAAACTGTCAACACCGTCTTTCATTGCCTTCACCGACACGAAGAGACTTGTGGGCGTGCAAGCGCAGAAGCAAGTGCAGAGGAGAGTGGAGAACGTGCTGTTTGAGATCAAACGACTGATTGGACGAGATTACGACTCGATAAGGAGGGAAGAGCGTTGTTGCTGGCCTTTCAGCGTGGCGAGGGGCCAGTCGGGGGAAGCACGAGTCGAAGTGAAAAGTGAATTACTATCACGGCTTTTCAGCGAGCACGATGAGGAGTCGACGCAATTGTTCACGCCGGAGGAGATACTCGGTATGCTGCTTGCGAAGATGAAGGGTTGTGCCGAGGCGTTTCCCGATTGTGGCGCGCTTTGCGCTGCCGCCATCACGGTTCCTGCCTCCTACAGCGACAGACAGCGATCAGCGACCAAGTTGGCGGCCGAGATCGCAGGCTTCGCTGACGTGGAACTTGTGAGCGAGACCACGGCGGCCACCCTGTCGTACGCCCATCAGTCGGGAATGATGTCATTGGACGGCGGGCGAGGCTGTGATGGAGAAAGCGGGGATGGCGGGAAGACGATCTTGGTGTTCGCGCTCGGAGGAGGAAGCTTTGACGCCGCCCTCGTGAAGATTGGCGCCGGGTTGTTGAATGTGATTGCGGTGGCAGGCGATCCCAGCTTAGGAGGCATGGAATTCGACGGCAAGATTATTGAATTGATCACCGGGGGAGAGGGAAGAGAGCTGTGCGAGGGCATGAAGCCCAGCATGGTGCGAAAACTGCGGGTAGCCAGCGAGAAGGCGAAAAGGGACCTCACGCTGCTCCGTGATGCGCATGTTGAGATAGAGTCGTTCCACGGAGTCGACGACGACCTGCAGGTGCAAATTGAGCGGGACGCCTTTGAGCACAAGTGTCAGTTTCTCATGGATAAATGCCTGAACTGCGTTGAGCAGGTGTTACGCGACAGCGGCGGCACTAAGGTAGAAGATGTGAACGAAGTACTGCTCGTGGGCGGATCTACTCGGATCCCGATGATCGCTAGGAGATTGCGAGAATTCTTTGGTAATAGATTGGCGCCGAGGTCGCACCCCTATCAGGACGAAGCTGTCGTGCGCGGGGCGGCACTCTGGACGGCTTTCAAAGATAGAGTGGTAGATAGGAGTAGGAAAGTCGGCGGCGTCGACGAGGGGTCAGCCTCGACGATGGTGTCAGCGGGTGAAAGTGCGCGCTGGTCGGCGGACAATGTGATCTTTTGCAGGCGACGCTCCATGAAGGTGTCCGAGTACGAGATGAAGATGACCGGGATAAGCAGCGAGAGGCACCGCTGGGAGAAGTTCGTCATAGAGTTTGAGAGGCGAAGGCATACGTGCCCGCCTTGGCTGGACAGTATATTGTCCACGTGGCAGCGCGACACTGAACAGGGGTTTCAGGCGGCGGCCGCGGCGGCGGCGGCGGCGAAACTGCGAGGTGAGGAGGATGCAATGACTGCGCGGTTCCTCAAGTTCCGCGAAGCGTGCGCATATGCATTCGGGCGGGTGTGGGTGAAATCTACCACCTCAAGGAAGCCGTTCGTGGGTGATGTCTGGGACGCCGATGACATGCAGTTGTGCTTGCAGAACCTGGGAGAAGTGACGGGGAGAGGTCAGTCAGGCACGGCGAGCGAGGGCGGACACCAGAGGTCGTTGGATCTTCGAGCTCCTTGCGACTTGGTTGTCTGCCCGCGAGCGGAGGATCTGGTAGATTTGGTAGGGTTGAGGGACCGGATCGCACAAGTTCGAGAGGGAGGAGTCGAACTAGCTGCACCCTGCCTCGGGTCATCCTTTACGCCCGAAGCTTTGAGGGAGTCAGGGATCGCTTACGTGCTCCTCGACACGGAAACGCCAACATCTGTCAGCAGTTGGCGTCAGAGCTTTTCCCGCGATCGACGGGATTTCTCGTCGAGAGAGAACAACGGATCCGTTGGCCAGCGAGTGGCGCTGGTTGTGCAGTCCGGGCTTTTGCCCGTAGTGTGCATCGGAGGAGGTAGTACGGCAGATACGCGAAGAGCTGGCAAGAGTACGAGCCTGGAGCAGAGAGAGAGAGAGAATTGCAAGACGCAACTTATGGACGTCATACGGCACGCTTGCAGCGACTGGCGGAATATAGTCATCGCTTATCGGCCCATTTCCATTCCGATCTGCGGCTCTGCATCCAGTGCAGTTGGACGAGGAGGAGGTGGTGCTGGCGATGGTGTTTTTCTGGAGGGGGTTGAGAACAACGTGGTGGAGACTGTTCGGTATTTCCGGCAAGTGATCAGCCATGAGGTGAGCGCTGACGCTGCAGCGGGAACGCGCATCGTCATTCGTGGACGGTTGGATGGGAGCGCCTGGGATGCGCTCTTCAAATGGGAGGAGATTGACGGCTTTCTCCTGGAAGGCGGGTTTCGAGACCCTGACATAGTCGAGCGAATCCGTGAGCCATGCCGAGAGAGAAACGATAAAATCTGCCTCTGCCGGACGCAAAATGGAGGTCTGCCCGACGGAGGACTTCCCTCCTGGCTGCATCTCTTGACTCAACAGCTGCTGAATGCAGAGCGACAACGACGGTTCTTCTTGATAGCCGTCAAGCACCTGCCCAATCAGCACTTGAAAGGGAGTTTCCCATTAGTAACCAGTGTTTATGAGAGGGACTCCATGAGTGCCGCGCGCTGGAGCACGACGTCGAGGAAGGGTGACGCAATGTTCGAGGCGAAGATCATTCCCATATTCGGAGATGGACAGGAGTGTTCAGTCACTTTAGAGGCGCAGCTCTCAGAACTCCGGCCGGTTATAAACGAAACGATCCGCCAGAAAGAGAGATTGGTGCTCGAGTACAAGCCTGCGTTTCATCAACTCCAAGGTGTAGAGAGCGCTCACGCCAGAATGAGACGATGGATATGGTCGAACGTCAGTCCGCAGGCCGCTCAGCTAGTGCACATCCTTTGCTTCGTCGACGACAAGGTAGATGATGCCACGCGTCAGGCAATCGCCGATCTGCCGAACGTCGACGGGCTGAGCTGGCTGTCGAGTGCGGATGGGCTGAGCTGGCAGCTTCCTATCCGAGATGAGCCCGCCGTCCGCTCGGAGCGGAGACACCGCGGACTGTTCCTCTCGGATCGGAGACACCGCCACCTGCTCGTCTGGGTTTCCATTCTACTTCTCGTGGCGGTCCTTCTCTACTTTCTCTTTGTCGGACTGTGCGACTATTACCATTGCACACCTGCTGATCCCGTTATGTACGTAGGGGGAGACTGGACTAGCACGTCTCAGGGAAAGACGGGAAATCCCTTCACATACGTGGGGGAGAAGTTGTAATAGCACACCGCAGGGAATGACCGGAATGATTTTCATTTGATTGTTTTCTGTTTCCAATCAAGCCTAGGCCTTGCCTCTGTAGAGAGGGATACTAGCTCAACGCACCCTGATCAGATATCTTTCAAGTCGAACGCAGTCGTGTGGAGGGTGCGCTGTGTTAGGGGGAGGATGGGAAGTCCCCTGTTTCTGATCGCATCGTACGGAAGCACAAACGTTCAGGTGCCAAAGATTAGACGACGGAGAGCCGAGTAGAACTGCCATCGCTGTTCAGACGGGAAGACTAGTGTTTCCTTTTTGACTTTTGCTTTGTTAACAGGATAGACGACTGACATTAGTGTATTCGTATGATTCCATGGATATTTGAGCTAGTGACCTGTTTATTAGAAGATATGTAATAATGTGTTCACCTTTCAGTAACAACTACTGGGCAAGATTTCAGGTTTACGGCGCTCTACGTTAGGACATTCTTGTACTTCTAAAGAGAGCCGGATCCCTCATAGCTATCCTGTTCAGAACCGCTAGAATTGTGGGGCTGCTCTTTTCCTCCATTCGTATAGATTTTCGGGAAATCATTAGCGTACCTCTCAGCTTGCACACGTCAATGTGGTTTGGGGGGGGGGAGGGGGGGGCGCCAAAGGCACGTAGGCATATCAACGCTTGGACTACGTCAATTACACACAAGGAATACACATATTAGGATGCTCTTAACGATTAAGTACCATACACTAGAGGGCGATCGTTATTCATGCAGGCAGACTCTGTTCCCATCGCTCTGTGTCTGATTTTTTTTCTTTTTTTTCTTTTAAGGTTGCTAAAATGCGTTTAGACAAGCGGAGACATCTCAGCTCAGATCAGGGCTGTGCTGTGCGTACCCCAGGAAGCGAGCGTGAAAGACTAAGCTTCAAGCGCCCTCACTTGGACTTTGCGTACACTAGAAAGCGAGTGTTGTTGAGGCGTCTGCAGTGCTCTTTTCCCAACATCCCCTTAACTCGGAAGGTTGTATCGGTTAAGCGCAGACAAGGTAATGGAGCTCAGAGCGGGACTCCGCTTAGACCAGAAAGTGATCGCTGTTTAGGCGGTGAGATTGCCTTAGACGTGCCTTCTCTCGCGGACATTCTTTTTCGGGAACAGTGATTCTCGTATATAATTCCTTGTAGTGCGTGTAAAGAACCTTAGGGCCAGATCCCATTAGCCCCTATTGTTCATTTCTGACCGTTGATCTTCGTAATCGAGGGTCAAAAATGAATAATCCAGGGTAGTGGGATCTGACCCTTAGAGAATTGAGTTTAGAGTACGATTGTGCCGGCGGTTCTTTTGAAAATGGCCTCTGTGGAGGGCCATGTGGCGAACGCAGAAGCAGAATTCGCGGGTAATACAAGTATTTCTCTCGCTGCATCTCGCTGTACTCAAATTCATCCTAATATAAAGACCCCCTTGAGGCGGGAGAGCTAGTTTGGTGTGCATGAGCGACCTATGATACAGTTTCGTGTGGATATTTCCCCTTTAAATTCTCTAGGGAAGAAGGAAAGCACGCACCCCAGTGAAACTGAGATCCGGCTGCACAACAAAAAACAAAAGGAAAAGAAATCCGGCTACCAGAATGATAAGCTTTGCTGCGCTGCTATCATTCCCAGAATGGTGGCGGGAGTCCTACGGGATATCCTTTAAAATGGAAGGGATGCGGAGAAAACTAGCATCGCATCTGCGCTTAATATGACACGCATAAGTAGACAACTGTCCCAATCAAGGAGGAAAAAAAAAAAAAAAAGATGCTGGTTTTCCCTATGATGTTTTTTTTTTTTTTTTTAATGACGGGCAATGGAGGGGCATCTTTTTTTCTTTTTTTTTCCTGCGGTCGGATGTGGCCGAGGCATCTCGGAGTCTGGGTGGACAAGTCGCTGATGTCCCCATGTCTCGTAGTGCTGTGACGGTGTCTGATAACGAACTCATAAATTGGAGACATGTATAGCAGACAGTAAAGGCATCGCCACACCACTCTCGGAATGTGCAAAATGAGAATGAACTTCCGCCCAGAACATGGGCAGATGCACCCGCCACATGTTTGTCTTTTTCACATTTCGAGAGTGGAGTGGCTATATGCTCTAAGTGGAGTGATACCGCGTTCTGAACAATTTTGATTATCCAAATGCTCGTATAGCGGACAGTAGTGGAGCCAGACCTAGGAGAAGTTTGATATTCACAAAGCGGTGGTGGCGATGAGAGTCGGTCTCGGTGGTGGGGACACTGAGGAGCGTTGTTGGTAATGGGCCTCGCTGCACGACTCTCGAAATGTGCAAAACGAGAGTGAATCTTCCGCTAGAATATGGAAAGATGCACGGCCATGATTTTTGTCTTTTGTGCATGTCGAGAGTAGTGCAGCGAGCCCCCTAATCAGTTGGCCATTCCTAAGCTTATCCTGTTGTTCGTGGAGCTTTGTAGGGCGGCTGTACCAGCAAGTCCGGCTACACCAATGACCCGTAAATGCAGTCAGGATCGGAGGCCCCTCACACACTGGGTCCCACCACCTGGGTCCCACCACCATCCATGTTTTGGTCGATACCTTGAACCTATTCCGGATCAGGCAATAGTCGTTTCACAACACACTTTTCCCCGTAATACACGTGGCCAGGGAGCTGGCGTCGGCTGGGAAGTTGTGGGAACTGCCACTAATCGACATGTCAGTCTGGATGTAAATAGATTTATTTATTTATTATTATTAATTAGTTTTTTCAAAAGTAAATAGATTTTGATGGTGTAGACCACTTCTTTTAAAATTTTTAATTTATTTCTTTCTTTTAAAACCAGGTCTTCCCGCTAGGAGGGGTGATAAGGGCACCTCCCGCCTCCTAACAAGCGAAGTGGTTGCTTCGATCTATTGGTGGGAAGCAGCAACTGCTGGGAAACTAGTCCAGCGTCCCTTCATACATAAAAACAGATGGAACTTAGACTCCGGCGGTTTTTTTTTTTGTTGTTGCCTTTTTTTTTTTACTCCGGCGGTTTGATGGTATCTGCAACGTCTTTGCTCGTCATGATAATTGTTTTGTACTAATATTTGACGACCTTGACAGCTATCGGCGTTTACGAGAGAGACTTCTCGGCTTTATTTGCTTCAGTCCGACCTCCATTGTTTGCTTCAGTCTCGCTCTTTTTTTTTTCTTTTTTCTTTTTTCACCTCTGTGTGATTTCGGTTTTCCCTTTAGTTTACACAGTCGTCCATTTTCAGACTCCAAAATGCAATGTTGGTAGGTCTAAACCACGTTAAAGTTCATTTATCTCAACAGTTTCCATCTTCTCTGATGGATCCAAGTGGTGCTGGTTCTCGTTTCCTGTTAGAGGGCGACGGGCTTAAGATATGATCATCAAAATGACAAGCCACAGGCAATTCAGAGTTATTCTATTCATATTGATCGAATGAGGATTCTAATTCAGGTCTGCTCATAGACAGTTGATGGGTGTACCATTCAGTCACACGGGCAGAGTGGTACTATATGTACTCCCCCCTCCGCGCGCCCCCACCCACCCTCCCCCTCTCTTTTATCGAGGTTAAACCACCGGTACATTTCCCAGCTATCTTTCAGAGATGCGGCTGCTTTCACAGCAACAACTTTTGGGGCGGCGCCACCATTGAAAAATTTCATCAGCAGCCCAGAAGATTCTGAGAAGAGATCCTAAAATAATTGCTTTACATTGATCCCACAAAGATATTTGTTTTAAATTTATATGAATTTTGGGCCTCCAAAAGTTGGTGTGAGGCGCCCCCGGCCTATGTGTGCGTGAGGTGTGGGGGTCTCATTACAAAGATTGAAACAAAAAGAAGAGAACGAGTTATTATGGCTAGTGATAGGAATTTCCCAGAAAACCTGATGATTGGTAGGTATCCACATATGGTTAATAGCAGAACTTGTTCGTTTTCGAAGTTTTGAGGCGAAACTGTTGTCGCGCCGAGGCAAATTGCGAAAATACCTCTTTTCGAGGCAGCTTTACAGGCTCTCGCTTGTTTCACACCAAAAATAGGCCTTCGTTGGACTTCCCAAGCATAGCACCCATCCGCGTCTGGCCGCAAGAACTCGGGGACTCAGGCCTGAGCCCAAGGACACAAGATCAAGTTGGAGACGGCTGGACCACGCCAGAGAAGTTTTTCAATCATTTTTTCTGTAGTTGGCTTGTACCTGGACAGGCTGGACGTGTTTGTGGAGAGTCGCCGATCGTCCGCACCTCTCCAGAAGCCAATCCGGATTCGTGCCTCTCTTTCTCGCACAAGAGAGAGAGAGAGAGAGAGAGAGAGAGAGAAAGAGAGATGGAGAGAGAGAAAGAGAGATGGAGAGAGAGAACGATGGGGGTTATGATGGCACATTGCAGCATGCGGGGTTTAGGGCACAAGCATGACAGCACACGTGGTGGCATGTGGCACTAGCCCTACTACCACGTCTCTCTCTCTCTCTCTCTCTCTCTCTCTCTCTCTGAGTCCACTTCGCGCTATGTTGCACAAACGTTCATTCGTGCGCACGTGGTTGCATGTGGCACTACCACGTACGTCTGTATGTATGTCTGTCTGTCTGTCTGTCTGTCTGTCTGTCTGTCTCTCTCTCTCTCTCTCTCTCTCTCTCTCTCTCTCTCTCTCTCTCTCTCTCTCTCTCTCTCTCCCCCCTTCACTGTGTCCCTTGTGGGCTATGGTGCACGAACTGTGACGAACATTCTCTCTCTCTCTCTCTCTCTCTCTCTTTCTCTCCATATATATGTATATGTATACGTTGCCCTCTCTCTCTCTCTCTCTCTCTCTCTCTCTCTCTCTCCATCCATATATATTTATATATATACGTTGCCCTCTCTCTCTCTCTCTCTCTCTCTCTCTCTCTCTCTTGCCCCATCGCCGGCAACGTATATATATACATATATATGGAGAGAGAGAGAGAGAGAGAGAGAGAGAGAGTAAAGCACCAATCTTGCAGAGAGGTGCAGATAATCGTGACTTTTCATAAACCCGTCCAGAGTCACGCTTAAGCGAAACAAAGGCCTCGCAGCTCCCCAGGCCTGATGTTGGGCCTCTTGGCTCAGGCCTGAGTTTCTTCCTTGTGATGCTCAACCTCACGCCTTGCACCACTTCCTGATGGGATTGGGAGTAGGCACAAAAGTGCGATTTTGGGTTGTCCGAAGGAATTTAGGAAACGGGGGTTGGAGTCTCACGTTGGTGCTGAGATCTTGTTTGCCCCCTTTTACCAGACTGTACCAAACTGCCATTTCGTCAAAATGGACATCTTTTATTTTTTGAACGAACCTAGCTTGAGACCAAGCATCTCCAGGCAGTCCTGCCTGGAGGTGCTTGGTCTCAAGCTAGGTCCATGTACAGCCAAGGGGTCCAGCGTTCCCTCAGGAACAACAAATTTTGACGAGTTTTCGGCCAAAAAACTCAGTTTCAATTTCGTTCAAAAAATAAAAAATGTCCATTTTAACGAAATGGTCGTTACCAAGGGATTCGGTCCATGGATGGCAGTATTCTCAAGGTGTGGGGGTAGAAGGGCAATTGCATCTGTTCTGGCCAAATTCATTACTTGTCATAATGCAATCATTCATAAGCTTTGTTATCCCTGCTTCCCTCAACCAAATGGTTCGGGGGTGTTGCCTGTGCAGTTATTAAATAGAATACTTCGCATTGACGCTTGGAACACAAGACAGGAGGCCACCTATGATGGCAACAAGCCAGGGGACGGCCATGAGTTTGTGATAGAGGAGTTGAAGTGATTGAAGTGAATAGGGGGGAAATCCCTGTCAATGAAGGCCAGCCGGCTGAGTCGGGATGCGAGGAAGGCTGAACAGTCTGTCGCATCTGGAATTTCTGGAAATCCATAAGGAGTCATTAAGGACAGCCTATCTGAGTTATCGTCTCCTGAAAATCTATGTCGGCCGCTTGGACGGGTACGGCCCATCCGTACGTGGCCCCTTAGGTAGGCACTCGTAACGGCTGTACGAATGGTCAAGTGCTTTTGAAGGCCTTCCAGGGGGGGGGCCTACAGAAACTGTTGTCAGTGGGAGGTTGCGGGTGTTAGGGGGCACACCCACAAAACAAAAAACAAAAGCAATTTTTCTTTTTTTTTCTCTTGGTCGGGGTAAGAATATAAATTAAAAAATGGATTGACTGATTGATTAATTGCTTGATTGATTATTGATTGATCATTGATTGATTGATTGATTGATTGATTGATTGATTGATTGATTGATTGATTGATTATTCATTGATTGGTTGATTGATTGATTGGCGGAGTTATTAAATAATTTATTGATTAATTAAATGATTGATTGATTATTTAATTAGGGGAAGAAAAAAAACAGCCTGCAAAAAAAAAAGATTGATTGACTGATTGATTGATTGGTTGAAGACTGACGATTGATGGGTCCAATGGAGGCGGGCGACCCTCCCCCAACCAATCAATCAATCAATCAATATATATACATATATATCGTCAAATAGAACTGCCCGGTAAACCGTAGGCAGAGAGGGAGAAGAGGACAACAAATGAGGGGCTGTGACAAACTGTTTCGTCGGAGTTTCACCGACTCATCATATATAAAACTCCGACCAAACAGTTTGTCACAGCCCCTCGTTTGTTGTCCTCTTCTC